TTGATTTAAGTTCTAAGAAAGTGATAAGGCTGTCCCTATTTTTTCTGTGTTTCCCATCTCTCGCCCTTTCTGAAGTTTCTTATATCAATTTTCCCCGCCGCTTAGGAAATTTATGTCACGATGTGATAAAAACAAATAATTTTACAATTACACATTAACAAAACCTAGATCAACTTGATCTTTCTTAAGCTATATTAATTTAAAAATCGCTTCTAAAATAAGCGTCATAAATTAATTTAAGGACTGTTACAAAGTGTTCTAAACTTTAAAAGTTCATTAAAGAAGTTACACAATCAGTGAAAAACAGTTTTTTTATTTTTAAAAAATAATTCAATTTCGTTTTTGCTGGTTGAGGTTGGAGATGAGAAACACGTAGGAAATTTTGGATGGTTTAAGAATCGGTATCTGTTTTATTTATTTATTTGAACGAAATAAACAAAGATGATTTTACGTTGCATTCCCCATAACACGAGTTACCTCCCCTAGATCGTGTTTCGATCGTTTTCTCAATCAATAGACCCAAGTCCACACTCAAAGGATTGAAATCCCCCCTAGACACGTGTGTACATTGCATGTTTAAATGGCTTAATATATATTCAATTGTATGCCAGGACTTTGTCAATAATAAATTCCAGCGTTACTCGAGCGGCATGATATCTGTTCTATTAATAGTATGTACGTCACGGTTTTTCCGCCTGCGATACGTTTATCGAACGTATGGGAATAATGCACAGCTTTTGTTAGATAAACGAATGCGGTGTACTTATAGTGTTGCATCAGACGCTGAAACAACGCTTGCATACGCAAGGCAGTATATTTAGAACGTAAACACTACGACAATCTATCTGCTATATAAGCCGTCCCATCTTGAACAGACCATTCATAGTTGAACCATCCTTAACACGATGAGATTCCCCGGCACCGTCACAAGGAACAAAGAATTAGACCCCCGGGGTAAGAAAAGGATGACGCAAGACCCTGAAGAAGAAATACGTCCACCCGCCCCGTGTCATCGGGCTGTGAGCCCCGTTTTGAAGGGGGTCAGACGAAAGTCTAGAAGGGATTGTCACTTGAGAAGGACTGTTTCGTGTAGGGAGTTCAGATGTGCCGTCGAAGAGGCCGAAAACAGTGTTAAAACAGACAGACAGTCACTCGGGACCTACCCATGTTGGGGATGGGAGAGATCGACCCCAACACGGGGAAGATTAGACGATTATGATTTCTTAACCAGTGGCTATGTCGATCTTTCTGATTGTAACAGCGACCAAACAGACTCTTCGTGTTTGTTACCCCAGGATCTGCGTCAGTGTTTACAGGAGAAATCGAAAAACATGACCGTTTCCGATGGAATGTTTAACATGATTTTCGGACATGATTACAAAAGTGGAACTTCTAGTGTCACGTTATTTGCGGAATCGACTAATTCCGACAGTTGACACTAAGACAACGGTTATCCGTGTGCATAGTCAGACAAGGTGAGACGGGAGATGGGGAGATTACTCTGACACTTGTATCTAATCCTGAGAAGACACTGGCAGCAATGATTTCCGATCAGCATAACGACCGCTCCGTCACACGTCGCGGGCCTGGGTCGGACTTGGTGTCCTGGGTGCTTGTGAACATGTCGATCTCTACATGACTGGGACAGGACAGATGATCCCTTACTTATTATCATGCCTGTAGAGTAAAGCCGTAAAAAAGAGGATCGGGTCGTCATAAAGCCACCAGGCTGATAATGTGTTATTATGGATCGACGCGAGGCTCACACTTTCAACCACTGCGATTATTTTCGTTGCCTTATTCAGGGGATTGCCTAAAAATCGGGCCAAGAAAAGTCGGTCCGGGCCGGGCCGGTGGGTAATACTAAAAATGGATTGCAGAATAATAAAACGAAACGTGCACATCTAGGCAGGTCTCAAGACTTGAATATTTTGTTGGTTATTTGATCTGGTTTTCCGGATTGCACAATGGATGATATGTGTTGACTGTGCAGTTTCACTACCTGCTGTCCGATATATTATGTAGGGAGAGAAATAAGCAGAGTTGGTGGAGTTTGTAAATTTATGTTGATTGATTGGAGGCGAGGGGGTAGCCTAGTGGTTAAAGCGTTCGCTCGTCACGCCGAAGACCCAGGTTCGATTCCCCACATGAGTACAATAAGTGAAGCCCATTTCTGGTGTCCTCTGCTGTGATATTGCTGGACTATTGCTAAAAACGGCGTAAATCCATTCTCACGCACTATCCTAATTGTTTGTTTGTTCCATCTATGAGATGGCGGTTTGTAAATAATCTAAGACAGTAGTTGTAGTAGTTGTAGTAGTAATAGCATGTAGTGGTCGTTTCAGTGTGAAAGACTGAGCTTTCCGATGCAGTTAGCATAACACTTGATATTTCATTGCTGTGAACATTACACTTTGACGGAACTGTATATTGTCATACAAGAGTGACCTCCCCTCAAATTTTCTCCCTTTACCGCAGTGTCCCTTTATCGAAACTGTTGATTTCCTTTTGACGTTAGTTCCACATTGACAAGGAAAAATATGGACAGATAGTCATTTATGGAGTTATTATAGCTTCATGCCGTTTGCTATTCTCTTGAAAATGTATCGTTATAAACTGTAAATTTCTCATTTACCTCGTCAGTCGAGATTGTTCTTTTCGCAAAGCGCCGTTTTTGTAACTTGATCAATGTACATTCTTTCGCATCGAACAGCGGTCTCCTAGTTTTCAAAAATATTTTTTGTTAAAGTTTATTTTGTATATAATCATATCTATATGTATGATACAGAATTTTCGTAACCCAGAATATTTTTTGTTTATTTTGTCTATATTTTTTAAGATGTTTGTCAATTCAAAACTAATTATTTAGTCGTAAATACAAGGGATGGTGAACCGTCGCTGCGTGTTAGGAAGGGAGAATTGAGTGTTGTAACTTGTGAGTAATTTGAAACGATATGATATAAGTGACAGTATGTTGAAATGAAGTGAGTTTGTGTGAGTGTGTGTGTGTATTTGTTAAGTGAATTTGCGTTGGTGTAAATCGTTAACGTTCTGTTAATAAATTCATTGTTAATTCATATCTGGCTTCGTTGTTACTCGATGTTGTGACAGTCTGGACCAGACAATCCAGTGATTGACATCATGAGCATCGATCCGCGCAATTGGGATACGAAGACATGCAATCAACCAAGTCAGCGAGCTATTCAGTCACCCCTTATGACAATCATAGATTGCCGGGGACTTGCTTTCTTACCCGGAATTGATATGGACTGTATCTGGATGGATAAGATTACCCGGGAAGATCCGGGGTAGAATAGGTCTTCAGCAACCCATGCTTGCCGTAAAAAGCGACCATGTATGTCGTAAAAGGCGATCGGGTGGTCAGACTCGCTGACTTGGTTGATGCATGTCATCGTATCCCAGTTGCGTTGATCGATGCTCATGTTGTCAATCACTGGATTGTCTGGTGCAGACTCGATTATTTTACAGACCGCCGTCATATAGCTGGAATATTGCTGAGTCCTGCGTTAAACAACAAACAAACAAAATGGATAACTGATATGTGTCGACTGAAGATGGTGGGACGTTCGCTTGGAGCTTGTATCGTGATAACATTTGGGTTTTTTTTGTATCTGGTTAGGGGCATGGACTTATTAAAACCGTTGAACGTATTTCCACATGGGTGAACAACAAAAACAACAAGGATATCAACACGATTGTTTTATTTATGCGAAACTTAAAAAGGATTAAGCAGTTCAACACAATTTGGCGACAGAAACAATAACAATGGATTGTGCCAGCCGGTATAAAATGTATTTGAGAGACATCGTCAGTACCGGTAACATGTACCAACGTATTACAACAACGACATAGTGCCTCAGCATCCTCAGCAAGTGGCTACGTGAAAGCGAGGCTGGATGCACATCACACAGAAGCATACCACGTTGGAATATTATCACTAATCACTGGTTTGTAAGGGATGGGTCATGTCATATTCTGGGCAGTGGAGACTGCTTTGCAAGGGATGGACCATGTCATATTTTGGGGAGTGGAAGTTGCTTTATAAGGGATGGACCAAATGCTATTCTAAGGCGTGGAGGTGTCTGGGGTCTTTCTGAAGAACAACTATTCCAAAAAATCCTGGAAACAAATAAACATCTTCAACTCTTTCAAAATAATTGAAAGCTGTATATGCTTGATGTCCTGAACAGAAAATGTGAATTTCTATTTCAGTTCCTCCTTCCAGAGAATGCGCTTTCAAGAAGTGACTGAACATTTATTTTATCTAAAAAAACAAAACAAGACCCTCTTCCAAGAATATCAAATGGCTGGTCCCTTATGTGTAGACTGTTTACGATGTACGCAGCACGATGTCTGCTTACACGACCTCTGAAACACCTAAGAAACTCAAATGAGGTTTTACACGAATCAATAAGGTTTCTTCTAAGACATAAACCAATGTCATGAGGGACCATCAACAGCGCCAATAGGTCGAAGGTTCATACAAAGTGCGCAATATTTCAGTAAAAGAAACGTGACGGCATTAAACATGACACCAAACAATGACTTAGTTCACCGATGAAGCTAGCATTTGACTTTTTGTCGGGAATGTTTCCTTGTATTTCGTGTCCCCAGTGTTTCAGTTAAGTAAGACAAGTATATATTTTATGGGATATTGTATATCATGTTTTGATGATAATGCTCATATTGACTTTCTATGAAGAACATGTATACAGATAGCACCACAGTAATGAAAACATCAATGCATTAATACACCTTCCTGTATATATACATAAATGTTAAATTCCATCTTCATTTGTATATCCGTATATATATGAAAGGAATTATGTCCACGTGTTTTAAATGTACACTACCACTTGCACAAGCAATGATAGTCTTCAGCAACCCATGCTTGTCGTAAAAAAGCAACTATGCATGTCGAAAGAGGCGGCTAACGGGATCGGGTGGTCAGGCTCGCTGACTTGGTTGATGCATGTCATCGTATCCCAATTACGTGGTTCGATGCTCATGATATCAATCGCTAGACTCGATTATTTACAGACCGCCGTCATGCATCTGAAATATTGCCCAGTGCGGCGTTAAACAACAAACAAACAAAAGCAAGGTTTATATACAAGAACAAATAGTAGTTATTTCTAATATGTGCTGACTCTAAAATGAAACAACACATATAACATTCAACAGTTGCAACAGACCATATTCAGAATGTGAAAAGTTCATCGGGATACAGAGACAGAAAACAGAATACTCTGCATCATTTTACATATACACATATGTACAATGAAACCTCGTTAAGTCCACCTCTATTATCTCGATATATCGAGTGATAACATAAATCGAAGTAGCGCAATGAGCTCGCAGAATCTTTAGCCATCCTATGGTCCTATATCGGTACTACATGTGTGGATCTATGAATAAGTCGATATATTGTTGACATTTGACTTAACGAGGTTTCATTGTATGCGAATAATAATTATTATTATTCTCATTATTCGACAAGGTGGGGTGAGAACCGGTTTTGAGTGTTAACGTCCCATCTACACAACAAACGATTATGTTCATAATACCATGATACACATAGATTCATTTCAGATCAGCTGTGTTGATGTAAATTGTATATAAATGATAATCATACAGGTACATATTTTTTCATGGCAAATCTGCATATATTACATCATTGACATCGATAACGAAGAAGCAATGTGCTAAAACATATATGATAACATCAATTCACGTGAACTCATTTTTACAGCCAATATTTGTATGAAGAGAACTCCGCAACAGGCATGTTTTCCTTGAAATGCAATAGGCCTCATAATGCTTCATGATATGCTAAGTACGTGCTAGTTAAATGTATTTTCTAGGATTTTATTAAATAATTATAATAAACTGATGACAAAAGAAAAACCAACAAAAGCTGTCCTTTTTGACGTAAAATCTCGCTGTACATTGATGATTAAGTGAAATTCTCGTTGCGGCAAATATAAAAACTTGTACTCAGACAAATAAAAGTAACTGTTTTGCCTGTGTGTTTTGTAAATGTTTTTAAAAAGTTGTAGATGAAAACATCTTAATACGCCTCCATTATATACTGTCTTTTATTATCGTGTTAAATTTCAAATGACGTCTGTAGACGAAGTAACTGCTTACATCACAATGACCCAAGTATGTTGTCGTTAACAGACAGAACAAAGAAACAAAATCGCAGTCAAAAATAGCATTTAGGAGGGTCTAGAAGTTAAAATCCCTAAATAACGCCAGCGGATGTCCTCAAGGGAAGACTATCACTGACCTCAAGCCTATCTAATCCCCAGATGATGAGAACATGAACCGTTAATAACAGGCCATCCCTAGTCTTCTCGACAAGCATCTATGGTAATTAAGATCAACCACTGTTCTTCGTGATCAAATGATACCATAAATAACCAGTAAATGTTCTGGGGTTATTTCAGTTTGAAGAAAGACAGTATGATCTTAGGTAGCCTACTGATGTTATATCAGTGAATTGAAAAGTTCACTGAAGCATATGTTTCCACTATTACATACGTATGGTGTATTGTCAATACTCTTTAAATTAGTACTGAACATATTACATTAAAATGAGTGAGTGAGTGAGCTTCTTTGAACAGTATTACAGTTATAACACGGCGTGTCCGCTTCATGTGGGAGGGAAGCCGGAAGTGATGCACTTTAGACGTTTTCACTTTGGTGAAACCCACGAGCACAGGTATGGTGCTGATAAACTTAGAAAACATAATCAGGGCGAACAGGGATTCGAACCCACGATCATAGGTTTCTATAATGTTTCTGCAAAGCGAATGTCGGCGCCCTAGACGACTGGGCCACCCATGCCTCCAAACACTTCAGAGTTCACAAAAGATCAAATTATGGTAGACACAAAAGGGTATTGTGAATATTCATGAAATGTCATTTCTTTGCAAACATTGTCTAGAGCTATATACAAATGTACATTGTCAATTAAGTTGATGACTGCATCGAATATGCTTCCTTTTGAAGCTTAAAAAAACAATTTCACAAACGAACTTTGCCTTGGATGCAATATGTACTAATGACTCCCAGTTAATTTCAAGCTAATCCACCAATTGTAAGCAACAGATAATACATTCAATGCCTTCAGTGCCACCTTGCCAAAAATATGTCACAACCCGTTATGGTTTCATACGCAATAACAAATAAATATTATTTACAAATATTACAGAATATGGAATGTCGATTAAAATTTGCACATATCAGCTTTCCAAATCTAAAACCATGGCATACAGATTTAGTTTTTAGTGGTAACAAGCAATACAACACACGTACATATTCTGGTTATCATATCATACTGATTCCATGAAGATATCGGTGAGCTACACAAATTCATATTAACAACATTTAATGTCTTGACGCTTCTCCGCGTCACGTGAGAGAGGTTGTCACTGGACGAAAGAACACTCTTTCAAAGTTGGCTAAGTACATTGGATGAACGCTTATTCCAAACTTTCCACGTTTGTGGAGAGTGACTGACATCCAATTGTCTCATATTATCTACTTCCTAGGTCATACTTGTATCTGACAATCTAAAGTGGTGTAATTTATGTGTGTTTTTTTATGGAAGTTTGATTTTCTTATGTTCTTTGAGAAATTACATCTAGTATATATGAGCTTAGAATGTCACAAAATGACATTTTTGAGGAGAGTTATTCATGTTTAATTTAGAAAATCCCATTAGTAACGTTTCAAAAACTTTTCAATCATAAACTTAAAAACAAATTCATCATTTTGTTGCGAAGAGTGAAAGAAATACATTTCAAGTTTATATATTCTTATCTATGGAATTGAATCAATAAGAAAAGAGTGGCTAGTCGGCGTATACGAATTAAAATAGTAAAAAGAGGTTCATTTGTCAATTTATGTTAATGGATGTACATTCTTTATCAATAAAAAAGGTTGAAGAAATGATTGGTGTCTACAGTTATAATAGTTCCAGTTCTTAAAAACGACTCATCGGCGTCCTGAAAGCAAATAAAAAGTGTGGACTAAAATTGTTCACATTTCTCGCTAAGTAATAAAGCGAAACCCTCAATTACGTTAGCATGCCAAGCCAGCAATAGTGAACGCAATCTAGGCCAACGATTCCGTCGACTGGGTGATGTCTGGTGGGTCCTGGGTAATAGGCACCGCTGTTTCTAAGTGTTCTGGTTCCGAGGAAGCCTCTTCGTCTCGACCGTGAGAGTCACATGCCACCAACACGAGACCCAAGAAGCCAATGAGATGGAGTGCCATTGCAATGTACAGCGACGTCATCAGGTTGTTTAGCGTCAGGGACACGATGAAGCTCAGTTCCAGACCAATCCCGTTACACACCCGTAGAGCAATTAATGCCGTTTCTTTCAGCTTGGGTATGTACTTCGGAATAGCCACTGGAACGTAAGGAAACAGATGATGAAATCAAGAGATTACTTTGTTTCTTTGGGTTTTGTTGGGGACTCGGTAACGGGAGCCTGAGTTGAGAGCTACGTCTGTTGAATTAAGATAAAATGAGAATCTGTAATGTAAATTAAAGATGTGTGGTCTGTGCATTGATACAATGTTTTTGTGTCTGTTTTATGTCAAGCGTAAAGTGGAATCAATATAAATCTTTGTGGCTTGCGACTTTCCAACCTAAACGAGGCGCAGATGGCTTTTAGATTAAGTTTAAACCAAGGCAATAAAACGAATTTCATTAAAGGAAATAAATCGAGTTTTGGGTTTGTTTTGTCCTGGTTTTGAAACTAAATCAAATCAAGGCATACATGTGGCATGAGGAATGATATCGACCTCGTATGACGAACGTTTCTCGGTACGTGTGACTGATTCTTCCTCGAATTCGGAAAAGCATGAATCACTGTGGACTAGATATACCTCGAATCAGGAAAAGTATGGAAGACGGGAGACTAAACATACCTCAAATCAGGAAATGTATGGATGACTGGAGACTAAACATACCTCAAATCAGGAAAGGTATGGATGACTCGAGAATAGACATATCTCAAATGAGGAAAAAGTATGGATGACTGGAGACTAAACATACCTTAATTCAGGAAAAAGGATGGATGACTGGAGACTAAACATACCTTAATTCAGGAAAAAGTATGGATGACTGGAGACTAAACATACCTTAAATCAGGAAAAGTATGGATGACTGGAGACTAAACATACCTTAAATCAGGAAAAGTATGGATGACTGGAGACTAAACATACCTTAAATCAGGAAAAGTATGGATGACTGGAGACTAAACATACCTTAAATCAGGAAAAGTATGGATGACTGGAGACTAAACATACCTTAAATCAGGAAAAGTATGGATCACTGGAGATTAAACATACCTCAAATCAGGAAAAGCCATGCCGTGTGTATTAAGTCAAACGTACAGTATGGAAATTCAACAATGAATTAGAACCTTAATGCGGACGTGAATATATTTTTATTCAATGAAGTCGTCAAAAGCAAATGCTTTTTTCACTTAAAACCGTTACATGACATGTTTAGTAAAAAGCTCGAAGACACACAAAGAATGAAATGTCGGTGGTGTGTTTTTGCAAGCAATAACGAGTATTCGGGCAAAATTGCTTCAAATGGTCTCTATAATAAGACAGATAAGCAGAGTTCAGCAAAAACACCACTTTTGATCGTTTTGACGTGATCACACCACGCCCAGACGTACAAATGTTTCAATCCGGTCAATTCAACGTCCAAGGGGACACCTTATGTCATTTATGGCGATGTTGTCGACAGAACAACCACATCAGAGACCGTTCCAGCAGAAGATGCCCACCCGGGACAACCCTTCGCCAAGACATATAATACTGTGTGTACTTATATTGCGCTAGCTTCCATACACAAGGTGTTTTCCCAAAGCGGTAACATTATTACCCCTGACAATGGATGAGTATGCGCTCCATTTTCATTCTTGGCTGCCTGAAGAGTATACAAACCAAGCTGCCTTGTCAGCCGGTAGACGGTTAACAGTCACATTACTATCTCTTCCTACCGGGTACCCATTTACTGCTTGATGGATAAAGGCATTTTTCGAACAAGGTCTCTTGCTTAAGGAAACACCACATGTGCTACACGTGCATCAGTGTTGGGCAGGACCGAAGCCCTAGAAACTCTCAGGAGGCAAGCTGCGGAACACAGTCACCCATCCACCTACTCTCCGCGACCGACGGTCCTTAACGTCACCTGATTTGTGACCCGTGCGCTGTGCACGTCCACATGTAACCCCATACGGTTCGAAACAAGCACCTTCGATAGACGTCAGAGCATCAACGTCTCAAGTTGTGCGGACAACACTTGTCAGTCGAGAAGGGTCCTCTTCACCGAGTCACATTCCCTTCTCAACGTCAGCCCCGTTGTGGTGTCCCACGCCATGATATTGCTGGATTATTGCTAAAAGCTGCGTAAAACGATACACATACAACCATTATGTTAATGTGGCACGCTGGTCTGCAAGACTGGATCTGTAGCCAATCGAACATGTCTGAGATGTAATGGAACGACGTTTGTGACGTCTTCAAATATTCCCACAACGTTGAAGGAACTCCTCAGATATGGAATATTTCATGGGAGGATTCAAATCTGTACCTTAATCTATATTGATATAGTTCGTTCCAGATTCGAGGTCCATTCGCCATATGTCTTTGGGAGTATCTGTATGACACTATAGGTCAAAGAAGATACCGTAATAGCATTAACGTTCACGTCCCCAGCCCTTTCTTCAACGTTTTGTGTCCCCAGTGAGTCGAAGGTGTCAGGCCTGCATTATTGATGTACAAGGTGGACACACTTGCTACGGACTGTGTGTGCAACATTATTCATTGCATACATGTGGTCTTCACCTATTCGCTTTGTTAATATTGTATGTCACAATCAGTTTTGTCTTTGAGTATACAATTATTACACCTGAACATTATACGGCGCTGAATTTGCGAGAAATGTGCAGCTCAGTTGGATTCCCTATGTGAAGGTACCTGTACATGTTGTAAAGCAGAGGTGAAATGTGGTTTAGCTTTGCGTTCAAGACTATTGCATAGAGACGTGCGTGCGCAATCGCGCTCGTGTGTGTGTGGTGTGTGTGCCTCTGTGTGTACTGCGTTGTGTGTGTTTTGTCTTTGTGTTTGACTGCTTGTACTAGTCCGGACGAATGCGCTAGCGCTAAGCCACTGAGATACCGTGCCACAGTTTAACATGGATACCCCACTCAGACACAGTGTACTGTTTAAGAGCCGACCAGTCCTTGTTCTATCACCTTAACGCTGAACGCTAGGCAGGGTAACAACAAGTATAATCTTTGATTGTATGGTATGACGCGGCCGGGGATCGAACCACCGATGTTCCGCTCTCCGAGCAGATGTTTTATCCACTGGACCATAGAGGCGGTTGGCACATACAGAACATCGAATAGATCCATAACACAACAATTTGAAATCATAAAAAGGAAACAAATAGTTTGGTCTGTTCTTATATGTTTTCAATGCCAATCGTTAACTTAAGTTAAAACTTGTAATCAGTTGGCACCACTAATGCTATTAGTCGGTTCGTCCGTTTAACCAATAGAGGTCGTTGTCGAGACGTTCTAATCAAACTCACGTTGCAGTTGAGACTGTATAATCCCATCACCGGCTCCCCACAGCGCCAGATATATCAATAATGCTGTAGACTGAGATGAAGTAGGTCTCCACACAAACGCTGTGATGAGAATACTTGTGTTCAAGATGAAACCTGGAAAAAGACGGACATTTCAGTGAAAGAGTCGATGAGTGCATACGACGAGGGCCAGGCATACCACAGAATTATTGTAGTCCTTCCAAAAATACTGTGGTTGGAAGTAAAGTGGCGGGCAAAAGAAAATATTCACTTAAATATGGGATTTGACCAAGCAATTACAAACGTTAACAAAACGTTACTACGCTGAAAACAGTCGCCGAAACACTGCAAAGATAAGGTCAAAAGCACAACTATGATAAAAATATCAAAAGCATCACCAGCGAGTATTCGATTTTACGAAAGCCCGTTAGGACCATATTTGTTTTTTGTTTTTGTTTTTTCTCTTTTAAAAGTCGTAATTACGAGAAAAAAGTCGTAATTACGACTTTTCAAAACTCGTAATAACCAGAATAAAGTAGTAGTAACGAGATAAAAGTCGTAATAACGACTTTTCAAAACTCGTAATAACGAGAAGAAATAGTTTATAATAACATTCTATTTATTGCTTTGTCATTATGTCACGGTGATTTTCATCATCATTGTAAAATTCGTAATGACGACTTTGTTTCTCATAATTACGAGTTTTGAAATGTCGTAATTACGACTTTTAAAAGAGACAAAAACAAAATACTAATATGGTCCAAATGGGCTTTCGTACACTGTAGCCACCATCAAACATGTGTGTATGCTTTCTTTTGCCAGGAAGTTGTCCATGACACCAACACGATTTACAAGAACAACCCTTTAAAGTTCCTTTCCCAATCTAAACGTAATCCTGATTAGTTGCCTGCCTAATGGTACACTGATGATGAGGCATTGTATTCAAATCATGTGATTGCGTGTTAAATGGATCCTATTTATCTAGGTGATCAAATTGAAGCTGAAGGATACTCAGGTAATGCCAAGCAGTTTCCGAGGTATTAAGACCATTGTGGCATCCAAAGCTTCATGAGTCTTCCAATAGACATGAACTTCATCACACAGATGCAATTCCTAAAGGGATTACGAGCGAGCAGTCTTAATAATGCGTCCGTTTCAATAAGGCTGGGTGAATGATGCGTCCCATCCTTGTAGATATACACTACCAAATGTTTAGAAGCTGGTTGCTGGGAGTTATCTATTCAGTATATATTGAAATATTTAGAAATTGAACCGTGAAGCTGACACAACAACCTGGGTGTTGTGAAGATGTCCCTGTGAGAGACTGTAGACAGCCAGAGGATCATGAAGACCATCTTGCTCAAACAATCGCATTGCAATTGTGTCAGTTCCATTACGCGGTTCTAGAACATAATCGAAGGTCTGATTCCCATAGCATGCCTAGTTTTTGGGTGCCATTGTACCCATCTTACAAACTAAGTTCACCATGTTTTTTAGCCTGCTTAAACCATTACCTAACATTATTTCTTGGTGTGCTCGTAAAAATTTACTGCGGTCACCCCGAAATCCAAAATGGCGTCCAAGATGGCCGCCCAAGTGGGAAAATTTCTCAATGCACTCATTACTCTGTCAAAACAATAACAAGTCAGCTTTTTCATATATATTGAAGTTAATAGGTTAGGTAGAAAAGTCGCGGCCATATTGGCGACCATCTTGGATTTCAGGGTGACCGCAGTGAAAAAATTTGAGCACACCAAAAAATTATTCTTCCTCATCACATAATCTATCAATCTAAATAGGTGAACTTAGTTTGTAAAGCGGGTACAATGGGAGTGTCAGATATGAGAAACAGACCTTCGCTTAACAGTCGCTAGACAACAAGAATACCTTTTACAAACATCCCCATGTCAAGTTCATTGTCGTACATATAGTATCATACTCAACATAATAGAAAGAGCGAGGTAGGGGGAAGGGAGTTTCCAAATATCATCCAAATAATATCCAGATACGGACAGTATTGTGAAATTTCAATTTTGCATCAGAATCCCAAGAGGAAATACTTCAACGCCAGAGAAAAACAGTCTCGATTATCTACCGAAATAGATTTCACTGGGCGTAAAAAACAAAATCAGGGTGAAAAATATATAAATGGATCACTGAAAATCATCGATGACACCAGGTGTTCGCGAAAAGGATAAAACAGATACATAAAGTTTGTTTGTTGTTTCTTGGAACAAATATTATACAATATCACATTCCGCCTTAACAACCCTAAGGCAACTTTCTATTTTTGTATAGAGCAAGACCCTTTATGTATTTAGCATTATATGTTGGTAGCAGATGATTATGCATTGACATGTACTTGTGTAACGTGTCATTAATGGAACATACATGCATATCGTTATGTTGCAACATCCCCAATACGCCGTAGTGACACCTCATTACCATTGCAGACCGACATCGTTAGCGTTGTGTACAACATGAAACCTTGTCATCATATCGACAGATATGTCGCCTGACATTTGATGGGAACATTAAAATCCGAACCGGTCAACCAATTTCCGTACCTTATCTGTATTGATAGAGTTCGTTCCCGATTCAAGGTCCATTCGCTATGTGTCTTTGGGTATCTGTATGACACTAGGTCATAGAAGATACCGTTAATAGCATCAACTTTTACGTGCCATTAGTTGTGTCCGGAGCTCTTCCTGTCTGTCCAGATTTTAAGGTCGGACATTATGAGAACTGTCAGGGCTTTTCCAATCCAATTTGGCAAGATGGCGGATATCGGATGTGGAAGGTACATATTACACAGGAGAGTGGTATTGTTCGGTAAGAGGGTTACATGTGACGTTTCAAGAGCTTACTCACGAAGAATTCATGATATTAGGAAAACTAGACCATATTAATAGAATAAAAAAAGGGTTTGGGTTCATCCTATCGCGATGAATTATTCTCTTCATATGTCGAATTTCAGGAAACCAATTCTTGAATTTTTAAAGTTTTTGTTTGTTGAAAGGATTTGGTAATCGAGCATGGTTTTTATGTCGTATTTCAGAGGTTTTCTTTCCGAGGGTTTGAAGCTAAATGATCATATTTCACGCGTGTAATGTGACTAAACGCCATGAGTCGACCAGACTGTCATTCTATAATTGCAATCCTGATGAAATAGGACCCATATATATCTGATAGCTATCCCGCAGTGGGACTACAAAAACAGTTATTTCCATTTGGTTTTAGAATTCATCCTGCAAATCCATTTTCCACTGCCGAATATCATACTTTAACCCACATTATTTTTCAAAAAACAACGTCAGAATCTTCTGATTTATTTCAAGATATTGAAAAGTGACATCTGGGAATATCATGCCATTACTTCGAGCTCTGATCCATGTCACTCATGCGAGAGAGAAGGAACGTGTGGACAAGCAAATACCTTTTAAGTCATTATAAGCTCCATACAGTGTTACAGACAGGGTACTCAGTATAATGCAAGTTTAATACAACTTTCAAAAGCTGAGAACAAAACTTTTTATTGACCATCCTTCCTTCATCAAGCCATTTACCCAAAGGTATAATTGGATTTCACTTGTCTCGGATTCCACCCACGAGCATAGTATTACTCGACTAGGTCCTAGCACGCCTGAAAAACGCAACTCTTCACAGCGAATTGCGGCTATCTTCAGGTTCGTGAAAAGTTTCAAAACGAAGCAAATCAACACATCTGAAGTTTACTGAGAAAACAAGATGTGATATGCTGGACTTCATCATTGATAACTTCTGTGTGACATTTGGGGATAAGACATTTAATTCAGTGGTAAACATCCCCTTAGGCACCCATTGTGCCACATCGTGTAGGTGGTTGTTCTTCTTCTGATGGTAAACTGTGCAAGAAACCTAATCCTGTTCTTATATGCAGCCCCAGGTAAAACCAAGATCATAATAATCAAAACCACACGGCTGGGATTAATTTCCTTGAGGAACAATTCTAACTGTTGTGACGTTAGTATAGCCGTCATAATTTGTTTGTTTGGGTGTTCAACGCCGCACTCAGCACTATCCGAGGTATATGACGGCGGTCTGTAAATAAGCGAGTCTGGACCAGACAATCCAGTGATTGACATCATGAACATCTATCCACGCACTTGGGATCTATGATATGCATCAACCACGTCAGCGAGCCTGACCACCCGATCCCGTTAGTCGCCTCTTACCACAAGCATAGTCACCTTTTACGGCAAGCATGGGTTGCTGAAGACCTATTCTGCCTCGGATCTTCACGGGTCTAGCCGCCATAAACTTTGAACGTCATAAACTAAACTAATAATATACATTAGGATAAAAATAGAACGGCTATCTGGAGTTCGATGTCTGGCTGTAAATTACCGCAACAATTAACCGAACCAAGAATAACTTACATGCCAGACGTAGTACTGAAACTGGGTAATTTAATCATTTCAATTTAATACTGCATCGGATAGTGGGTGGTGGAATTCGTTGCTGTGACAAGGAAACGAAGAACGTGCCTTTCCCGTACAGTGAGTGAGTGAGTGAGGTAAAATTCTACGTCGCATTGGCATTATTTCAGCCATATAGCGACGAGACAAAGTTAATATATTAACAATTCAGTCATTTATGCAAAATTATTTTTAAAAACAAGTAATGAAACATATGGGAGCATACTTTATTTAAAAACAATTGATGGAACATATTTGAGCATATAACAATATCATGAATACAGTTTAAAACACGGGCTATAGGCCACCAGTAACCAAAGCTAGGCCACCTCACTGGGGATCATGGCTTTCACGTACAGTATTTACAGCATCGGCAGTGAATGAAAAAAAAATAAGGAAAGAAAGATACCGTATTTCTTTGTGCGCCCTCAAATATAAGACCAGGCAAACCTTTTGAAAGGGGAAGGCTTCCATATAGTATCCACTGTTAACCCAAATGGCTACCATGTACTGCTGTCTCAACCAGTTCTCTCTGCCTATGATTCATACCGATACATACATGGAACTTAGGAATTGAGAACCATTGGTGTCTTTTTCATGTAAAAAACGTCACTCAAATAAACATATAACGTCAACGCCAGAGAATAATCAGTGTCGATTATCAGCCGAAACAGATTC